ACGATCATATTCTTGTTATATCGCGTCGGTGACCGACAACGATGGCGACGGCGAGGTGGTTGATTTACGATCTGCTCCACACCTGCTGCTTGCTGTATGTATAATAATATTATAACGACGTTTTAACGACGGCGATCGGAGGTGCTAAGCCCAAATACTTATTCGTATGCGTTGTAATATTATGTATAGCATAATACGCACGGCCTCACGCGATAATCATTATCATTGCGATAGAACCGATAGAACAATGATACAAAGCTGCAGCTATTTTATTATTTTGTTGCTATTATAATATATTGTGTAAGTATTTATGGATGGSTGTGTGTGTGTGTGTAAAGTACACGGGCGAGAACGACTTGCACACGGCGTGTGCTTGAAAAAAAGATTTCTATTATATCTACGCGCGTGCATTATGCTATTATATTGTGTGTATTATACTTGCATAGGTACGCATTTTCTTTATTGAAAAAATAAAAACCTCACCAATCAGATGGCGAGGTGTATGTGTATATATTATATATATATATGTATATGTATATTATAATAGGTAGTATAATAAACGTACGTGTATGATACGTCTGTATATAATAATATAATATAATAACATGTTGTAATGCATTATACGGCCGTGCAAGAACCACCGCCGCCGCCGCTATAATTGTCCGTTATTAATCAGAGTATTGAATTTACGACGCGTACATAATGCTGTTAGTGCGTGCGTGTGTCATACGATATTTCGACTCATACACCGCTACCGCGGTTAGAATGCCGCACGCATACCGTATTATAATAGTTTTGTATATTATATAGGTAGACGTAATATGATGTACATTTGACCACCACTGCAACTTTCACTCCMTTCTCCCCTATCCCCTTCCCGTGATGTACACCATGGCGAGCGCGTAATTAATAATAATATTATATTATGTATGCTCATACACACACAGCACACACACTAATGTATACAAATATATATATATATAGGTATACATCATATAATAGTACATATTTATTCGATATAGGGACCGTGCGTCTGTATAGAGAGAGTATATATTGTGTTTGTATAGGTCTCGGCGACGGGTCGAATCCTTCAAATTGCAAAGTCATATTATGAACGTCATACGACTGCATTTGGACTTCTATACACCGTTGCATCTATATATATATATATTATAATATATAATAGCCACGGTCTACTTCAACGGGTGCAGCGGTCATTACGTCGCGTCTGCTGATATTTATTTTATATTATATACATATTATAATATACGGATTCGTGTCGGCCCGGCAATCAACCGCGTATTATGCAAAACTAAGTGTAAGCACACATTATAATAGGCCTCGTTAATTGAAAAACCCCTTCTAAAGTTTTAATTCCACTGTTTTGTTTTCCGTATTAGTTCTGCGATTTTGCAGCTACCTATWTATTAAATTCGTAATAACTTATTATTTAACGGATATATTATGTGTATTTCTCATCTACTACACGTMTAAATTAAAACATTTTGATTTTGAAATAATTATATCATATACATATGTACGAGTTTGTCTGCAGACTTAAATATATGCATACGAGTAAGGTACTCATACTATACATAATATAGTCGTATTAAGTAAATAGTATCTATGAAAATGTGAATGTATATTTATTTTTTTTAATTTTCCTCCCTATTTTCCATTCTTTATTTGAATTCAATATAAAATACGAGATTTCATTATACCTACTACACATAATCGTCTGTATAATATTATTTAATTATAATATAATGTAGTTGTCTCTTTATTTTTGTATTTTATTCTACATTTAAAAATTAATTTACAATATATACTAAAATACGTCTGTCACTCTGCGTGTGCAATAAATAGTTAAATTTGATCTAGTATTAAATTTAACATGAAATATGTGATTAGTATAGGGGGTYAGAGCTGAAGCACCTGAACAGTAAACAAGAATTATTAATTTACATTTTTTTTAGTTAATTTTTAAGTAATTGCAGTCTCTAGGCATGTRTGGTTTAGGCACTGTAGTCTTGGGTGGCGAAATTCTTTTGTTTTAGAACTATTTGGAATTAATTTACAACGTTAGTGATTTCGTCAGCATTTCCTACGACTATTATTCATTTTTTATACGAGTAAGGTTAAGCTTAGGGATGCAAATTTTTTCGAGCGTCGATGACTTATTCACATATCACATTCGACTACACTTTAATGTAGCGTAATATTATTATCACGGTAAATTAATTCCAAGGTAATTAATTTTTTTTTTTTTATTCATGTATAATCTGCACAGAATATTTTTCTTTCTTTTTATTTTTCTTAACTAAACAAATACCGTCGTGCTGCAGCTGACGTTTACATTATTCGGTTGTTGCTTGTCGTGTATGCCTACGAAATATTTTATTTTTTTTGTTTTTATATGAAGCGCAGTAACTTGCTGCACCTGTATTATTATTAACATAAAACGCAAAAAGTGATGCGTATTATGCATATAAAAATGAAAATTTTTTCTATTTTTTTCTCTTCTTTCATAATCTCGTTTGTAACGGACGGCGCATGAAACTTTATTAATCGATAAACGGCGTTCTTATATTATACACAATCTCGTTGGCCAAGTTTTTGAACATAAATAAAATAAAAATGTACAATATATTATAATATTATATTTGGCAACTTTTACAGTAAAAATCCAATACAATCGATTGTTTTTCAATAGAAGTTCAATGTGGTTGCTGATATCTGGTCGAGTTTTTTCCCACATAATAACACATRATATATATTATATGGTTTGCGAAATTATCGTAATAAATTCACATTGTCAGACGGCGGTATCTCTAGTCTTATTTATTTACATATTTATTTTACGATCACTATAATATWAAATTGTATTTAAATCCCCCGAGTATATATGATCGTTAGCATAATTATATTTGTATATATTGCCATATTGGTYTCTTTTGTTGTTATTTAATGTATATAATATACATAAAGCAAATAATAATGATTTCAATAATCATATTAATAAGGATGATTCCTTAAAACCATTGTCGATGTCCGGTGCATCGTACTCACCACCGCCGCTGATCATCCGGATGGATATCCGTAATGGTGTAGGGACCGCTCATTATAAGTTTTCAATAGACATAGACCCGAAACCTTGGACCATATTGGATGACTATCCTTGCCGCCACCGCATCGACTTACAACCACGCGTTTGCTATAGATCATTGCACATTTCTGCAGAGTCGTCTTTACAAACTCGGTGCTCGTGATATCTATTGTATACCATTAAAATATCATAATATGGGTAATATACAATAATTATGGTCCTTTATTGCAAAATCCTTAAAGATATCGATATTATCATAATAATACCGTACGCTTTGCAATTTTAGGGCTTGGCGTGTAATGACCAATATAAATGACAACACCACGCACAATCAAAATATATCCCATCATTAGTATAATATCAACTCGGAGACCCAGAATGGCCAGAATAGCGTCCACATACAAAATAAGTAAATATACTGTATATCACTACCGGATTGGAGTATCCRCCAACCATTGTTTTACTGGTTTTAGCATAACAGTAAAAAAATACGCGCTTATAAAAACAGTGCAATGATGAATGATGCAGTAATCATATGGACTCCGAGTTATATATATATTATATGACGTGTATTATAGAGTGCAGATGATTGACCAATCGGTGCTCTATTTCCTTGAAATTAAACGTTTACTTTGGTCTATATACGTAAGTTGAGTTGAATTTAACGGTGCAGGCGGTAGTCATGATTCACACGTTATTCGTTAATATTTGAATTATTTCAGTTTAGAATACATACGAAAATGTAGTAATAAGCCGAATGATACGTAAAATTCTTATCACCAAATAGACAATACTATCGTGCGCGCACTCTTACGGTGTCTTTTGCCCCAGAAATCAATTTATATTCATTTATTCTAGAGAAATCYTTGTGTTTATAGTAAAAAATGTAAAAAATAATATTAGGTAGGTATAGGTTGCGTACTATACGTGCGTATAGTGAACTTTCAAATCCATATTTCCGTCGGACGAACTATTCTGCTTATGTGTACAGACAGGGTCGGACGACGCGACACCCGGCTCTATCGCACGTATATATATATATATATGTGCAGGTATTGTATATATTTGGTGAATTTATCATTCGGCCGTGACAAATATTATAATAATAATATCGTCTACTGTGCAAATCTCCGTGGAAATATTTCACACGTGCCGCGATTTTGCTCACCCGTAATCCCGACTGCAGTTCGCGTTCGTTGTATTTTTTATATTTTATTTAGTTCATACCCTGGCCTGCTGCAGAAGACGATAGACCTTTTCTGCTGCAGTGGTGCCTTCCATAACGATTTTCCGGGAAATTGTCCACACATTTATCATTTAAGCTGCTACTACGCACAGCCCATTATATATTATAATATAATAATAATAATATATTAACCGTAAAAACACTCATAGAAAAGGCGTGTATGACAACAGTGGATGATGATATAATAATATAATATAATGCACAAGAAAAATTGTGTATTGTGTATTTTTTCGATTTGCGTCTCACGCCCACACCCACTTATATAGTGGTTTCGTCAACGAAAATTCCTTTCCAATTCTGAATTATATAGGAACATTAATATTAAGTTATACAATTAGTTTTTATGTCATAAGTTATAATTGTAGGTAGGTATAAACAGACGTAGAGYGTTAAGATGTCCACGACCATCGTGTAATATTATATCATAATATTTTTTTTTATAAGTCTACTAAAATATWTTAATGTGTATTAGCGATGGGTTTATTATGCGAACATATTACACCAATACGACCGGAACCGTGAAACCTGATCTGTTATCAGCAGGGTTCTTTCCCTCGTCTCGTGTATTGAATTATGCGTTCATGAGGTCATCCTTTGTAAATTTATTTTATTATTAAAATTATTTTTATTCTTGTTTTTCTTTTTCAGCTCAATGCATGTCGGCACTCGGCATGCAGTCCGGAGTGATAAAAGACGACGATTTAACCGCTAGTTCTTCTTTCGAAATTGGAAATGTCGGACCGCAGAACGCCAGGTGAGAGCCGTTTTTAAACAACAACGCGTGTTGCACAATATTTCTCACGCCCCGTTTGCACGCAAAACGCGTACAGAGGGGCATTTTTTCTTCATAATACAACAAAGCGTATTTTGGGGTTACACTATACGCGTTATTATATGTTGACTGTTGGACGTGACAAAATGTTTATGTTGGCAATTTCTACTACGAATATTGTCCGCTAAATGGCTGTTTTCCTTTATTCTATGAAAGATTCGATGCAGTTTATGCTCCATATTATGGGTATACTGTAAACTTTGAGTTTACGACGTTTTTGGGAATTCTTTTTTGAAAATAGGCGACACCTACACGAAATTGTTTCCATTCTAGCATAAATCCTTCTACTTCCAATGGAATAGCTATAGGGGACAAAAACAATTTTGCACCCTCCTGCAGATATGTTCATTTCACCTACCCTCTTCTTTTATTGTCGTCGTTCTAACACGCGGCAAAAGTACACCTTTAGGCCACCATTTAAAGACCCTCAAGATACTTCCGATACGTCGATAAAAGCTCAGGTGGTTCAGTCTCCCAGCAGCTTAAAACATTTTTTTTTCCTTTTTAGTACTTTACATGGAAATTACTACGCTTAAAGTATATATTATCCGCGTGGTATGCGAAAATAAATTAGCGAACATTTTTTCTTACACGTTTTAAAATATATTTTATCTTCACTTTATACATTTTATTAAAATATGTATTATGTTAATATACATATAAAGAATTTCTTCGAAATAGAAATGAATATTTTTTTCTTTTGGTTAAGGTTAGCTTAAAAAATAAAAAATAAAAATAAAATACTGCTATACTCAATGCGTCGTTTTTTTTTCTTAAAATATGTATTTTGTTACTTTATTTTGATAGGAAAATGTGTAATATCCAGTTGGTATATATATGTATATTCTAACTGAACTTCTCTCTTCCGACTTACTTAAATATATATATATTTATACACGTTCAACAAACATACATAAAGTTAGTTATTGGCGGTTAGAAAGGATTGGGTGTGAACAAAATGGAACCCAGAGCTTTGTGCTCTTGGTATGGATTTAATAAACGAGAGGGTCAGAATCCCTTGTTTTGAACTCTGACCACTAGTGCCCGAGGAACTCGTTAATTGGAACTTGCGTGTGACGTTTCAATTTGTTTTCATACATTGAGTTAAAGATGGATTAAAAGTTGTACGGTTAGATTTTTCCATGTGAGTGTGTTATATAATATAATAGAGTAAACTATATAAATGAGAATTAAATCTAATGGAATGGCAAAAAAATAAATTTAAAAATGTTCCTCAACTTTTAAACTATAAGTACCTAGCATTATAGAACTGCTTTCTTAGCAATATTTTAAATTGCATAAAGCAACCGTCACTCAAAATTTTTGTGTATCTACGAAATGTGAATGTGTATATTTACGTGCAATGTCATTTTATTCAAAATTAAAATTCGAAAAATATTATTGTTATATATCATACATTATATAATTTTATTTAGTTACTAAGTAGGAATAATGTAAAAATAATGTCCCTSAATATGTGTCACTTATTAGAGTATATTTAATAATAAACAATAATACTTATACAAGGCTACATTATACATTATAATACTTCTTCACTTAAATACATTTGAGATTTGATTCAATCACAATACTTTTAAAATTATTGTTGGTAATAATTGAAATTGAGTTCGTTATTAGCAGTAAATTATTTTTGATTTCTATACTATTGCTTGAATAACGGATTTATTTTAATTTTTACCCAGTATACATATATTGTGACATTATTCAATTGAAACATTTATAATCATATTACATTAATAATACACTTTGTTGTTGAATAATTATATAACTTTTTCTTTTAATTATGTTTATAGTGTAAGTATAACGTACAATATTATAATAAATTCCATAACTAGCTACGTATTAATATTATTTGTTAAACAAGGTTTTTCATGATAGATATTTTAAAAGTAAGTGTATGGATAAAAATGCGTTATTTTTTTCTTGCTTTTCCTTTTTCAGAAATATTAAATGGAATAAAGGTATCATGATTGTGCTTTGGGTTCTAACAAGTTTTTATAAGGGACTCTGTTGTTGAACAATATCACTTGTAGATGTATATGCTGTGAATAATATAATATCATAACATACATATTACATTCTATAGCTAAAACATATCATATTATTTGACTCGTACTATTGTCCCGCGTCTAAAAATGTATAATTTAATGGAAAGGGAATCTTTTTCCATCTTTTTGTTAATATTTGTTTTGTTCAAGACGCGACTTTTGTAACCCTTAAAATGCGTGCGTGAATGAGTGAGTGACATCAAAGGAAAACTTAACTGTGCAGAATGGCAATCAGAGATAATCAAATATTTTAAAACAGATTCTATGTGATTGTATAGGCGCGTGGTTATATATAGCTTATGCATATTTAACATGACTTTATTTCAAAGTTCAACAGTTTTTTTTTGTGTTAATATAATATAAGTATACTGTTCGATATCAGTGCGCCGCAACTAGAAAAAAAAAGTTCAGTTTCAGATTTTTGAGACATAGGCTTTTTGCTTTGTAATTTTGTCCCCCAGAATAAAAATATTTCAGTTTGCTTTGCCATCGGATTGTCTGATTTATTTTTATCACAAGTCTATATATATATACACATTCRGTATTGGGTATGAAAAAACTCAATATTTTCTGGTTGCCCCGTAGGCGTCGTGTACATAGAGTGGCAGTAGCGAAAAGTTTCGTCTAATGAATATTAATGGTCGTTACCAGTTATCTATATAGGATGAGACCGGTAGAAAAATAAAATAAGAAAAAGATTTCTTTCTGGTGTATTTTTTACTTTTTTTTTCGGTCGAGTTACGACTTCAAGACAGAGAAAGCTAGTTTTATCGATACGAACTTTATATTTTTATTCTAACGACCTTTTCGAATACAAGAGGTTTTGCTTTCTTAGCGTCGTAGTGAGAAAGACAATCAATCAAAACACTAGAGATTTTTTAGGTCATAATTTTTATATATTTATTTTTCAAGGGGAGCTCTACTGAAGGGATATTTTTTGTGTGTATACCTAACGACAATTTATCTTCGATTATCGCCTGTTGACGTTTTTGTCGCTTCTTACCAACACTACCATTACTTGAGTACATGAAATAAAAATAAAATATTGAATCACAGCTAACTGATAGGTTTGATTATATTATGTTCTCTATGCCAGTACTGTATTAACATTATTTATTTTTTTGGTTGTTTTAGAGGAGTTTGTAAGTCGCACATATAAGGTAAAAGGTGTAAATATTGGTATCTACCTACCTATTTTTATTTCCTTTTTTCGTATATTTGGTGTTTGCTCCGAGGAAACTACGCGTCGTTTGTAGAGTAAATAAGACAAAATGTAGCGTCGGCGAGGAAAGGAATAAAATAAATATTTCCCGTGCCCGTGATTTCGTAGAGAGATGAAAGTAAAAAGTTAAAGATTACGGCGGCGGCGGCGGATGGATAAAAATATGTCTGAAAAACTTTCTCAGCCACATATATATATACTCGTACAGGATATATACTTAAACTTGCTACTTTTATTTTATTTATTTTTTCCACCACCATGGGAATACCATGCGTTGACCGCGTTAACTGAAACGAGCAAAAAACATCTGGGAAAAATCTGCCACGAACGAATATAAAAATAAAAGTTTTCGCCGTGCGGGTATATTGTAATATCGCGCCACGAACAAACGGGAATGTATAGGTGTATAATATAATATACATTTAATAATAAAATATTGTTGTGATAACATTATAAATCTCGTTAAATTCGTTCTTCCGCAATAGGAACTCTATTGTGACACAACTCTCGTCCCATTGCGATTAGACACATTTTTTGGCGATCGTGCGCAACAGCAGCGCAAAACCATCCGCTCATCCGCATACAATACTGTACACTGTACAGGACGTAATACACTCTTTGCGGCTCCCGGCGATCGTTTTCCTACATTGAAAATCCTATTGAATTTGTACCCAATCGGTTTCCATGATTACAGCAGTGGTCGGTAATGAACTCCGGTCACGTTTGATCCGCAGGCATTATCCCAAGACAACAATTCGTTTAGCCGAATATCGGCCGGGTCGATGATTGCAAGTGTGTCCAGATTACTCTCCATTTTTGCGAGAAGAAAAATAATAATTCCCTCCCAAGTATAATAACTGTATAATATTATATGTTATGATTTATAACTAGAAATCATAATGTCCTACCGAACAATCATTGGACGCGTAGTGTGAAAATGGGAAAATTGTACGTTAATTTGTATTATGTGATGATGTGCTCTCGGAATTTCGTAATGACATTTCATAATAATTATATTCTAAACGCATTGCAAATGTGATTTGTTCAGTACATAAAATATTTGAATAAAAATATGATTTTTAATTTTGATCTCATTTCCTGATCATAATCTTTGCCATTTATAAATCGGTATTCGATAGACATTACTGTTTTTATTTAATGTTCATATAATACATTATGTAGTATATGTACTGGTTCTTTTTTTTTTTTTTGTTATAGTTCGTTCATCACGCCTCGCGTAATCTAAATAATTTATTTCTTGCAAAAAAAAAATATTAAATATGACGCGTTGTTTATACTTATACTTTTTTCTATATAAATCATTTTCAAATACAATGCTTATCCCTGGAGCTATTCATGTTTTACAAAATTTCTATTTAATGGATGACGATAGATTTACAATCCATTTACAAATATGTACCTTATTTTTTATCAAGTGTTTGTTCAGAGTGGATCTGTACAAATCTGCGCTCTGCTGAAACATTAAGTTGAACTATCGTTCAAATCTATTTTACAGTGTTCTCTATATCGGTGTATTAGGTTGTAAATGGATATTACATGATATGTATGATCGTTCACATGACCACATATGTTATATATGTGTATAAAAAAACCAAATTGTCACGTATAAC